GATACTAGTACATGGTGACAGACATGGATCTAGTTTCAGTTTTCTGCAGGCAGATAGCCACTTTTCCTAGCACCATTTGTTGAAAACGCTGTCTTTTCTCCATTGTATGTTTTTGGTGACTTTGTAAAAAATAAGGTGGGCATAGCTTGTTTATTTTTTTGAGAACCAGCTTTTTATTTCATTGATCCTTTGTATAGTTTTTAAGGGTTTGATTGTGTGCAGCTGAATCAGTGTTACTCTCTGATTCCTTGTGTTTTCTTCTCCTGTGGTTTGGTACTGCCTGTTCTCATGGTTTTGTTTGCTTTCATTAATTTTGGCCCTTATTTTTTTTATTATTTCTCTCCTTCTGCTTGTTTTGGGTTTTGCTTGTTCGTGCTTTTCTAGGAGTTTGAGATGTAGCATTAGGTCATTTATTTGAGATCTTTCTATCATTTTAATATATGCACTCATGGATATAAACTTTCTTCCTAGGACTGCCTTTGCTGTATCCCATAGGTTCTGGTAGGTTGTGTTTTCATTTTTGTTAGCTTCCAGGAAACTTTTTATTTTCTTTCTTATTTATGTTATGACCCACTGATCATTAAGCAATGTATTATTCAGCCTCCAATTCTTTGTGTATTTTCTGCTGTTGTTTTTGTTGTTGAGTTCTAGTTTTAATGCATTGTGATCAGATAGAATGCATGGGATTATTTCCATTATCTTATATTTGCTGAGGCTTGCTTTGTGTCCTAAGATATGATCGATTTTGGAGAAAGTTCCATAGACTGCTGAGAAGAATGTATATTGTGTAGTCATAAGAGGATGAGTTTCTCACTGAGTCCTAGAAATAGGCATGATTGGATGGATTGAATAATTCTGTGGAGATCAGGGAGCTGACACAGGAGTCACTGACCTAACTAACTTCATTCTGTCCCTCTGTTGCTCTACTTTTGCCTCTTTAACCAGAACCTTTACATCTGACATTACCTTGTATTCTGGACGTGGCAGGACTGATTGCTAAACATCTTTATGATAAGGGATGGAAGCTACTCAAAGCAATATCAACAACAACTCCTTCAGAATACCTCACAAAACCAAAACTTTATTTGACTTGAGTGCAAAAGGGACAGTATTGGGGAGAGGTCAATGAGAGGTGAAGGGAAAATGGCAGGGTAAGGACTGGGAAGAGAAACATAGTATGTTACTTACATCTGTATGGAGATAACATAAAGGAACCCACCAAATATTGTTTTTAAAATGGGGGTAGGAAGGAAGTGTGATATGGGAGTATAACAGAGGGGTGAAGTTGCTCAAAATGCACTGTATGCATATACAGTACCTTCAACAAAACCCCATTGTATTATTAAAGAATCCTGAAAAACATAAATAATGATTGATCATACCAACAGCCTGACCAAGATTATCTGCCCCATCAGCTATGCATACCTCAACCCCCATCCTTTCTCTCCTTTTATACAGAACCTCAAAGTTCCTGTGAGCTCCTTGAAGATGGACTTGATGTCACTGAATCCCTTTATATGTTTTTTCTGACATGGCTGCATTGAGTAAATTTCCTTTCTCTGCCCTTCACCACTACTTGCCTCTTTAATTGGCATATTGGGATGGGTGGCCAAACCTATTCTGTTGGGACTTCCAGAGCTGGAACTTTTGCCTTAAAACTCCAGCAACACTGTGTGTAGGAGTAGGGGAGACTTATGTTTCTGCCATTCCAGGGCCTTCTAATTTGTCCCAGATACACAGACAACCCATAATATTGGGTTCATATCTTGTACCACAACTGATGCTTTGTTGCACTGAAACAGATGGTAGGGACCCATCTCTCCCTGGGACACTGAGACGGAAGTTAAACAGTGTTAGAGTACTGTTATAGTACTGATACTGATAAGCCTCTGTTGCAAGCACACTTTGAGAGGTACTTTGGCTTAGCAGAAGACCAATTGCCATAACTGCCACTTCCACCCAAGCCAGCAAGGCAGCACTTCAGCCCAAAAGAAGACCTGTGGTTGGTGCAAACACAGCCCTTCATTTGCATAATGGACTGTATCATGATTGGTGCAAGCATGAGGGGACAGACACGGTTGGTGCAGACATCCTGTCTCTTTCCCATTCTGCCTATATAAGTAGGCTGCTCAACTCACTTTGTGAGTAGCTGGGAGATACCCATTGCTTCCCCCATGGTGTCACAACAGGTCACATAAAGGCTTTCTTTTGCATGGTCTTGCCCACCTCTGCTGAGCTATTAACATGAAGAAAAAGGAAAGAAACAATGGAAGTAGAACGACAACTATACTTGGAAACAGGGCAGCAGTATGGTGGGCAAATTGAGTGGCCAGGGCAAAACTGACAGGAGTTGTGGGGGGAAGGCAGAAACTGGCAACAGAGAACATTGACCTTAGGTCACCTGGGTACAAAGAGCTCTAACACTTAGGGCTTCAGGTTACCTGGGATATGGAATCAGTTAGCACAGAGACACTACCTGATAAGTGTTTCACAGAAGCTGAAACACTTAGGCCCCTGAATTCTGGGTCAAAACCCCAAGGCCCAAATTCCATGCCACTGCCTTTTCTGTCAGGAGTCTGACAACAAAGGCCCAGGGTTGACTGTTACTGCCCACTGTCACCCACTGTGCTGCCACAAACACAAACATCCACCAGGGCCCAGAATAACTGGAGGAGTGTCTCCTCACCCAACAATGATTTCTAACAGGGTAGAATACAAGGACCCCATCCAGGTAGTTTGTATCAATGTGACAGCAATTAGAACCTTGGTGATCAGCCTATGATGTTTAAGGAGTAGCAGAAATCCATCCTACAAATTGATTAGGCACATGTATGTAGTCACCAAGTGGAAACTAAGCCATTTTTCTGACTTTCTGAGGAATCAGAATGAGAGCGATAACAGCCCAATTTCCAAACAGGCTAGTAGGCATGAAAATGAAGTTCCCACTTCCTCAATCTTACACACAAAAGATAACCTAAACAAATCTCATGCAACCAATCAGTCATTCCTCTACTGGTCTGTCTTCCTGCCCCAGTCTTAGAAGGAAAGTGACTTGGAAATGACCAGTCTCCATTCTGTCATTTGTTCCTGCCTGCCTCTTCCCTTCCCTGGCTATATAACCAAACTCCTTTGCTCTGAAGACTGGAAAATTTAATCCTCTTTTAGGGAATAAATGAGCATATAGCAAATTTATATTAGCTAAGTTGTAATTTGTTCTTTGAGTCTAGATTTCACAATCCAAAGCTAGGATAAGGAAGGGAATGACAAAGATCAGAACAGAAAGCAATGAAACTTAAATAAGAAAACAACAGAGAAATCAAAGAAATACTGTTGAAACACTGTTTGCTCACAGTGAGATGGAGTTTAACAAGGAAGATGTTTAAGAGGGGCTCAACCCCCAAGACTAATCATACTACTTTGTATTTTAGCAGTAAAGGGGATACCTAGGTTAACCATACTTCTGCTGGGCCAACTACCAAATTGGGGGTCCCTACAATGACCTTTCAAGTTTGGTAATTTCCAGGTGGTTCACAGAAGCTCAGGAAAACATTTGCTGGCTTACTATAAGGGCTACAACTCAGAAACAGTGATGTGGAAGAGATGTAGAGACCATGGAAAGAGTAAGGAGGAATTTCCATGCTCTCCCCAGATGGGTTACCCTCTAGCATCACCAAGTGTTCACCAGACTGGGCACCCAACAGATCTGTGGGTTCAGAGGGGCTTTTCCTTGGTGGTACTAGGGTTTGAACTCAGAGTCTGTGCTCACTATGCAGGCACTCTACAACTTGAGCTACACCTTCAACTCTTTTTCCTTTAGTCATTTATCAAATATGGCCTCCCTTTTTGCCTGGGACCAGCCTTGGATAGCAATATCTTACCTACTCCTCCTATGTAGATGAGGTTACAGAATGCTCCACGATGCCCAGACTATTTGTTAAGATGAAGTCTCATTAACTTTTTGCCCAGGATGGCCTTGAACCACAATCCTCCTAATTTCTGCCTCCTGAGTAGTTAGGATTACAGGTGCCAGGCTGGATACAGAGATTTTAATAAATTCAATCTTCTTTGAAATTAGTGGGTGGTACTGAAATTTCCAGTTCTTTAACCAAGTATTTGGTCTTTATGGTTGACAGTTCCATCCTGAGTTTTTCTAGGGACCCCCCCCCACCTTAAGCAATCTCACTAGCATAAATTCAGGTGTGGTCATTGGGCTGATTATAAGAAAAGACACTCTTACCATTCAGGAAAGTAAACAAAGATATTTTTATTAAGTCAGAGGAAGGGAACAGGAATAAGAAGAAGGACAAGTCCAGCAGAGAAAGTCTGAGAGTAGTCACAGCTGACCCCATGCAGAGCCCCGGAACCTAAATGGTCCTTCAGAGTTGCTCCATGTTGGCCAAACATGACCAGATCTCCATCATCCTGCCTCCAGGAAGAAGCTCAGCTTTGGAGAAGGTAGCTTCTGTGACAGAGTCCAGGTGGGAAAGGAATGACAGGTGACAGCTGCCTCCAGCAGAACTTCCAGAAGTTGTGACAACATATCTGTCCTTGAAGAGAGATCTGGTAGACTCAATGGGTCCACCAGGACATCAGCAAGGGATGATGGAACCAGGGTATCTATATGACAAATTCCATTAATCATTGGGTGATGGAGGAGATTAATTCCCTGGTGTTTCCAGCCCTCTAGACTGAACTACAACATCCAGGGAAAATCCCCAAGCAAAGGTGTGCAGGGAAGATTAATGGAAGTTGAGCAGATGGCAGGAAGGTATGCAGGGATGTGATTAACCCCCCAGGAGACATAGCAGCTAGCCCATGGCAATACAAACCCTGTGACCTCAGCAAGGAAGACAGAGTAGATTAATGTAACACACCCAGACGTGAATGTATCCCACACCTGGTTACTGTAATATACTGCAAAGGTGGGCAAGAAACCACCAGCACTAAGTCAAGGGGAACCTGGAGTCATCAGAGGAATCTGACAGAGAAAAGTCCTAGAGCCTTTGTGAAGCTCTCAATGATGAAAGGCCAGGAAGAACTAGGCATTCAGTTGTTGGAGCAGGACAGTGAAGAATTCTTGCAGATCCAGAATTTCTCTGTATCACAACTGGCATCATTCCATCCACCACCACTAAATTCCGCACAGTCTTCCTCCCCTGCATTGTTGGGCTCTCCTTTATTCCAGTACTTCTTGAAGCTGCAAAGTTCATCCACAACATTAGTCTCTGCCCAGCCTCACTCTGTGAACCTTGTTCTTGCACCTGGAAACTTCTTGATGCTTTCATATCTGCCCTGCCAGCATTTAGTGGATATGCTTTGTTCTGGACCCAATGATTTGCCCAAGACACTTGACTTTGGCCTCCATTCTTTCATACTGGGGAAGAGTCGACCTGCTGAGGGGGTGGTTTTCACATACAAACCAATGAATCTAGAATGCACATATCCAACCATTGTCATCTTGCACCTTAGGCTACTATACATGTGCCCAGGGCCTGGTACCAGAGAACTAGGGAAAGCTCCATTCTGGAACTCACTGAATTGTTTCAAACTAGCCAGTGCTAAGCCTGTCTCAACTATTCTTTCCCATGGGCACCAAGATAAAGGCTTTTCCCTCCAAAATTTGGCATTCACATCCTGACTTATCCTGATCCTTCCACATGTGAACCTCTATGGTATGATGTATACTCCATCCCTTGGGCTTAATATGCTATCTTTTCTTTTTTAAAGTTTTTGTTAGTTTTTTTAAATTATTGTGCTGGGGGTACATTGTGACATTTTCAAAAGTTCTTACAATATATCATAGTTACATTCACCCTCTCCGTCATTCTCCTTTATTCCCTCTCCTCCCATTTGGAATAGCTTCAATATGTCTCATTTTTCCATTTATATACATATGTACACAATATTTCCACCACATTCACCCTCCTAACCCTTTCCTTATATTCTCCCCCCTCCCACTGGTACCAATCCCAGGTAGGACCTGTTTTGCCTTCCTGTTCTCCATTTTTGAAAAAAAAAAAGATATTTTTGTTTGTTTAAGATGGCTATATAGGGTGTTTCATTGTGACATTTACATGTATGTATGTATTATAAACTGAATTGGTTCACCCCCTATATTTTTCTCTTTCTACCTTAGTCCTCTTCTTATGTGATTCCAACAGGCTTAAAAATTCTATGTTCATTCTTGTATAGGAAGTACATCAACCTTATTCACTTTCTTATGTCTTTTTTTTTTGTGGTACTGGGGCTTGAACTCAGGACCTTCACCTTGATCTACTCTGCCAGCCCTATTTTTGTGAAGGGTTTTTCGAGATAGGGTTTCATGAACTATTTGCCCAGGCTGGCTTTGAACTGTGATCCTTCTGATCTCTGCCTCCTGAGTAGCTAGGATTATAGGAGTGAGCCACTGGCGCCTGGCTTTAACTTCCTTCTTTTACTCTCCCTCTCTCATATGTGACCTCCCATTAGAATGACCTGCTTTTCATAGTATTTAACAGGCTATCTTTTCAATGGCTATAATGTCCTGATATTATGGCTTTATTAAACTACAGATCACCTAATAATACACTATATTTAAATTCCCTACCCTGGCTCCAGGCTCCTCTTGCAGCTCAGCTGGTGGAATTTCAGGTACCTGCCACACTATCTGCACATGGGTATGAAGACCTTCTTCTCCTGCTCAATAAATGTCACAGACTCTGAATAGAGAGCCAGGGTGTAAAGAGGATCCCAAGGATAGGTAAATTCAGAGTTTCAGAGTTCCTACCCCTACTCTGTAAAAGTGATGGATTCTGTCTGGATTTACCTGGATGATAGAGGTGAACCATCCACCCAGTGCCATGTGCTTTCCTCATTCAGGTCTGACATCCCCATCCAGGTTTGGCCTTTATTCTTAGAAGTCTGCTGTAGGAAGCTCTAGAAGGGTACAGAAGGAGTCAGAAGGGGGCTCTGTACCCCATTTTCTGGTTTGTTTCTCCCCAATCCCTTGGATGGAGGTTCTACTTGCAATCTTAGTATCACTCTTCTACTACACCAGGCCACAGACTCTCACCTGTGCTCAGGAGGTCTGAGTTACTTTTACATCTGTAACCTGTGGACTGGTGTGTTCTGACTTGCTATAGAAGTGCACATCTGGCCTTTCATCACACACACTTAATAATATTGTCTGTGTATCTTTCTTAAGAGTTTTGAGCATGTCCACAGGAATATACTCCTGACTGGGTTTCAGCCCTTTTCAGCTTTGCATTGAGTGGTGTCCCATTAGAAGCTTAAATGGAAATATTTACATCAGGGAAATGGGCAAATATTATACCTCAGATCTTTTATCCCTCAGAGAGCCAGTTGTTAAACACTGACTAGCACACCAGCGAGGTCACTTGTATTTTAGGTGTTCCCTAAGCATTTAAAAATGTTCAGGTGCTGTATGTGATGTGTGCAAAATGCATGAGAAACCCTCATTCATACCTTTCCTCTCATTTTCCAAGTGGCATAAGAAGACCATAATGTCTGACAAACAGTCTCATCCCTGGGTGACCAACAGCCAGATGCATACACCAGAAAGGGATGGGGGCCCCCACCACATGTACCTGCTCTTCATCACTTTCAATGATCACTATTTGGGCCCCCACTTCCTGGCAGGCAGTGATAGAACTTTTCCAGTTCCGTTGGGACTTAGAGAAGAAGTAGCAATTTCCTTGGAAAAATGTCCAGTCCCAGGGGCAGCGGCGGCACAGGCGATCTATTGGGGAAAGAGAGTCAGGTTGGACCTGATAAGAACTGCCCCTGGCCACCATTCTGCAGCCTGAACCACAGCTGGTCTCATCCCTTGCAGAACAAAGCCCACTGTTCCTTATCTCCCACCACCTTCCTTTGCCCGCCCCTAGACCTTGCTTCAGCAGCTGGTCTCATCCCTTGCAGAACAAAGTTCCACTGTCCCTTATCTCCTGCCACCTCTCTTTGTCTGTCCCTCGCCCTTGCTTTCTCCCAAAAGCTACTTAAGGCCAGACCCACTGAGAGAAGCTGCTGCGCCATTTTTTCTTCTCAGCCAGCCCGCCTGCTTATTAAACTTTGGACATGAGATACCTCTCGAGAGCCTCCTTTGTGTGCGGTGTGTGGCATTTTCCTAACAGGACCCATTCTTGGATGACCATGTTCCTGTTTTTCTAGCCTTGAACCCCTCCATAGTCAGTACCTTCCCTTGACACAGCACCCTGGGGGAGCCACTCACCTTTCCACTGCCTGAGCTCCTTTCACACCCCAGGAGGATCTGTGAATCTTGGCCCCCTCTTCTCCAGATTGGGAGAAGTAGGGGATTTAGAACTCCAGAGGCCAGAAGTCTGGCTTAACTGAGTGCCTACTGTATGTACAGTCATCCTGTGACCACCAAGTGCAGTATTGATGTTACCCTCTGTTTCCAGTTCATAGATGAGGAAATTGAGGCTCAACTAGGGCTGGGGACTCAACCAAAGTGACACAACTTGGAGACCCCTGGTTTTCACTCACTCACCTACTCCAGCCTTCAGCTGGCTCAGCTCCTGGTTGATCTCATGCTTTGACTGCCCTTGGGAACAGGAGACTTTAGAGCCTGTGCCAAGAAAAAAACAACTGAAATTACGAAACAGTTACTTGTTTTATGGATTGCACTGGGCCCACAGGGACATTCTTCTTTTCCTTTTTTGTTTTTGAGGTGGGTCTCAGTATTGTTGCCTAGGCTGCTGTCAAACTCTTGGGCACAAGTGATCATCTCACCATCAGCCTCCAGAGTAGCTGTGACTACAGGCATGTACCACCACCTCAGCATAAAGGGCATTGTCTCTGACCAATGTCTTATTTAAATCTCTTTAAAGACAAGAAAATCTAGCACCCAGAGAAGACTGAACCATGAGGCCAAGTGAAGCCAGGGTCCTTCCCTGCTCCTGTTCCTTTCCCATCTCTTCCCCACAGGTGGAAGGGGCCCTGAGAAGACCCAAGAAGTTGCTGAAGTACCTGATTTCAGCTTTTGGTCCAAATTCTCTCCCAAACATGCTGTCCAAGTTTAAGGGTCAAAATCTAAGTCTTGCCTTACCTTGGATGAGGACAGCCACCAGAAGCCCTGCCAAGATTGTGAAGGAAAGCAACTTCAGGACTAGGAGAGCAAGGCCATGATGGTGACAGCCTGGAGAAAGAAGAATTGGGATTCCAGTACACCTTTGTTCCTATGTTAGATTGGCCCAGGGGCCATGAGTCTCTGCCCCAGACTCTACCTCCCTAGGAACCAGGAGTCCAGCTTCCAGTTTCCACCTCCCCAGCACCCAGGAGTCCCAGCCACCACTTCCCAGGACACAGGTATTTGAGAAGGGGTGTTCACTCCTCCTCAGCCTCTATCCCTGTTCTACCTGCAAATAAATTGAACCTAGAAGTTGGTTGGGATCCAGAGCCTTTAATGGAATATCTGATGCCGCCAGTCATCAGTTCTTCATTCTCTGGATAGGCAGAGCATCAGTCAGAGCCTGGGAAAGCAGAGACCCCAGCTTTCCTCCTGAGCCCTGAAACCCCAGAGTCTCAGCCCCGCCTCACCCAGCTGCTGTGTCCTAGCTTCCCTGAAGTCACTCATGGTCACTGCTGTCCTTCAGTGCCAGGAACTGCTGGAGATCACAGCTTTTATTTCCCATCCCATGTTCCTCACTCTCCAAATCTATTCTCACTCAGGAAGAGAAACAGGGAACTGAGTGTTGACAGCGGAAGAGCTAGAGGGAAGGAAACAACCCTTGACACAGCAAGTCTTGTGCTGGATATTCCAAGATTTTTAGAGGTTGGAAAGGTTGTGGGGGTCAATAAGAAAAAAAAACCCTGCTCTACGCATGGTGTGGCCAAGTTCTGGGATGTCCTTAATGAAATCAATAAGGTGTAAAATAAGGCTTCTTTGTTATATCTCCTTAACTTACAATGGGATGGGAATGCAATATCTTCTGCCTTCCAGGAAACACCATCTCCTGTTTGACCCCAGGCTTCGCTGACTTGCTTGGCTGATGTCCTCCCTCCTGGTGATTTCTGCTGACTTGGGAGTTGAGGGATGAATCATCATTGCTTATATTTATTTAATGGTTACTTTATGTGCTTATTTATCTAACATTCCCAGCCTGTGGTAGAAAAACTTCTGTCCATTTTACAGTTGTTAGAAACTGAAGCACAGAAAGCCTGGGTAACTCCCACAGTCACACTGTTGGTTAATTGTGAAGCTGGGATTTGAACCCAGATCATCTGCTTCCACACCAGGAAAAGGAAGTTGAATAGTCTTGGGAAGGAAACAAGGTCCCCTAGAAGCTTTATTCAGAACTGATGAAATTGGGAAAACGCAAATGGCCACCAGGTGGTAATGAAAAAAATAGTATATTCGAAGAGTGGAATACTATCTAGCAATGAAAAACAAACCTACAGAGACCTGCAATAATATGCATATAACTCCCCACAGGGTGAAGGAATCAAAACATAAAGATTAGATACTGTAAGACTCTATTTCATATGAATTTTAACAATAGGTATGTTGGGCATTGTTGATTCACACCTGTAATCTTATCTACTTAATACTAAGCATGCACACTTTTTTTGGTGGCACTGGGGTTTGAACTCAGGACCTCACACTTGCTAGGCAGATGCTTTTATCACTTGAGCTACTCCACCAGCAATATTATCTATCTGGGAGGCTGAGATTGGAATAATCACAGTTCCAGGCCCAGCCCCAGCAAAAAAGTTTGCAAGACACTATCTCAATGGAAAAAAGGTGGTTGTGGTAGTGTGTGACTGTCATACCAGCTATGTGGGAGGCTGAGACTGGGAGGATCATGGTTCTAAGACAGCCTGGGCAAAAAAAAAGTTTGAGGGACCCCATCTTAATGGAAAAGTACTGGGCATGGTGGCGGGTGCCTGTCATTGCAATGACTGAGAAGTGTAAAATAGGATCTCAATCCAGCTGACCTGGGCAAAAATCAAGACCCTATCTTCAAAATAACCAGAGTGAAAAAGTACTGGAGGTGGGGGTCAAGTGGTAGAGAGCCTGCCTAGCAAGTGTGAAGTCCCAAGTTCAAACCCTAGTACTGCCACAAAAAAATAGATAGAAGTAATCTTTGATAAGAATTTGAAATGGGGGCTGCTTAGATGGGGCAAGTGGGGATTGACCAGGAGGAGGGAGTATAACAAAATCTTATGTCTGCTGGCAATGTATGATATTTTATTAGCGTGGTGGCTGCCTTTGTGCATTCACACACAAAATGTCTTCAGCTGTATATTAAACCATTGCATATTGTGTTGCATGTGTAGTTATCTTAAGTTAAAGATGGGAATATGTGCACAAATCATGATTAGATAGTGGCAAATATATTTGCCTTAGATTTACTTTTTTAGACCTATGAAATTCTAGGCATATTAACTTTTAGACTTGGTTTAGATTTTTGGTAATTTTGCAAAGATAGAATATAAGACTAGGTGTTGGTGGCTCATAGGCTACTCAGGAGGCAGAGATCAGGAGGACTGAGGTTTGAAGCCAGCCTAGGCAAATGGTATGTGAGACCCTATCTCAAAAATACCTAACACAAAAAGGGCTGGTGGAGTGATTTAAGGTGTAGGCTCTGAGTTCAAGCCCCAGTACCACAAAAAAAGAATACAGGTTCCCCATGTTCCTCTCGCCTGGTTTTCCCTAGGTTGTTGAAACCATGTAGAAGGTTGTTGACCTTATACATTTAAGATGTGATCATAAGGGAGAATACACCAGTGTGGATTTCTTACTTATAACAAATGCCACAGTGAGCTGCATACACTATTTGGGTTTCGCTATTTTTTTCATGATGTCCTTATTCTGTTCCTGAGTCCCACCCAGGATACCACAGTGTGTGGCGACATCACCTTGGTTTATGCTCTCCTGGGCTGTGACAATTTATCTGACTTTCCTTGGTTTTATGGCCATGATCATTTTGAGGACAGCTTAGGTATTTTTTGCAGTATCTGTCAATTTGGAAGTGTCTTGTATTTTTCTGACAGTTAGCCTGAGGTTAGGTATGATTTGAAAGAAGTTCCCCCAGGTGAAGTGCCATTCTTGTCACATCCTCTTATTCAAGGAGCATCAATGTGCCTTATTAATGGGGAGGTGGAGCTCAATGATTTGGCCAATGTGGGATTTTACTTGTTTCTGTATATACATCCGTCATAATTTTTATTAGTGCATATAAATTATATAAAGGGGTTTCATTGTGATATTTCCATACATGCATATAATGTACTTAGATCAAATTAACCCTATTGCTCTTTCATATCTCCCCTTTTTCCTTATTTTATAATTTTAATAGGTGTCATTGTTCTATTTACATACCTACGTATCAAGTACTTTTTTTGTACTCACACTGCCTTCGCCCTGTATTTTTTCTCTCCCCCTTCCACTGGTTCCTACCTCCAAGCATTCTTTTACAATCATCATTTCTTCTCCTTCTTCTCGTTCCCCCTCACCTTCCCCTCCTCCTCCCCTCCTTGTTCTTCCAGATATCACCTATGAGACAAAATATGCAATATTTGTCCTTTTGAGTCTGGCTCACTGCACTTAGCATTATGATCCTTTCTCCCTGAAGTTGTTTCTCTCAAGCCTTCTATTGCAGCAAAGAGAAAAGTAACTAATATCAAAAATTGGTGTAGAGAAGTGGGGGGTCATTGTTGTGCCTACACCTGACCTTGTGGTTCTCAGGCCTTTGGAACTGGTTTGTAGGAGGAATTTGGAAAAGTTTGGAGATGTGGGGTAGACAAGCCTTATAATTCATTTTTTTGGAATGGGGGAACTGGGGTTTGAACTCAGAGCCTTGTGCTTGTTAGATAAGTGCTCTACCACTCCACTTGAGCCACAACCTCAAGCCCTGAAAAGCCCTAGAATTCTATAATTCTAGGTGGAAGCTCAGAAAAGCAGAAGGCTGACAGAAATGCAAACAGTACAGACTGAGCTTGTGAGGTTACAGATGAGAACAAGAGCTCTATTGGCCATTTGTGTTATAGTCTAGCAAAGTATTTGTCTACATTTTGTCCATGTCATGAACCTGTGGAAGTCTGAGTTTAAAGGCAATGGGATAATTTATTTTGTGGAGGAAATTTCAAGAAAGTATAGTATCCAGGCTGTGGCATGGTTATTGCTGACTGCTTTTAGCCAGATTGACAGCAAAAGGATTGAAAAATATGTAGTCTGGCCAGAAAAGGAGAAAGTTGACAGTTGTGGACAAGGAAGGCATGGTTGTTAAAGTGATTAGTGCCATTAAAGAGAAGTCAGGGTTGGGACATGGCTCAAGTGCAAGTGGTAGAGCACCTGGCTGGCCCTGAGTTCAGCCTTAGTGGGGGGAGAGAGAGAGAGAGGCACCCTGCTTAAACAGGGCTACCTAAGAAAATGTTTTCCCAGGTTCAGCCACTGAGGCATTCAGAAGCCACTGTAATGATGGTCCAAGATAGTTCTTAAACTGACCACAGACCTTGGCATCTGCCCATGATGGTCATTTTGTGGCCATATAGAATATAAGAGTTATGAGGTATCGAGGCTTCCACCCATATTTCAAAAGAAGGCCTGGGAGGCCAGACATATGTGGTAGAGTTAGGTCCCCAGGTCCCTGTGGGCAGCCCCTGCAAGGGTAATGTGTAAAGGCGTGAAGGTGAAGCCAAAGATGCACTGGAGACATCGGGATACTGGAGATGCCAGGAATATGAAACATCTGCTGAGGAGCCAGCCCAAGAAGAGGCCATGTGAGCTGCAAATGGCAAGTCCACAGGGGCAGGGCTATGGCCACGCTCTTTGGAGTTCACATCATGAAAACCAGAGTGAAAAAGTACTGGAGGTGGGGGTCAGATGATAGAGAGCCTGCCTAGCAGGTGTGAAGTCCCAAGTTCAAACCTTAGTACTGTGCCCTGGATGTCAGAATGGCTACCGGATTTAATGTTTTTGCTGTTGGAGTTCATTCTTTCTTTGGTTCCATTCCTCTTTTCTATACCTTCATTCCTTCCTTTTAGAATTAGAATGTTTGCTCTGTACTATTTTATTTTGGAACTTCACAACTTTCTTTTGGATTTTTTAAGGGTTCACAGCTAAGATTTTGCCTGAAGTCTCAGAAGAGACTTTGGCAGTACTGGGGTTTGAACTCAAGGCTTCATGCTTGCTTGACTTGCTAGACAGGCAGTTGAGCCACTCCAACAGCTCAGAAAGGACTTTAAATTTGGACTTTTCAGCAATATTGGAAGTGTTAAGATCAGGGAGGCTCTTGGAGATGGACTTAATACATTTTGTTTTATGATGGGGTCTCATTACCATGATGGGGCCAAGCAACCATGGACTGAATCCTCCAAAATCATAAGCAAATAAGTGATTCCTTTCTTAAGTTGTTTCTGTCAGGTATTTTGTCACAGTGACATAAAAGTCTAAGAGTTTTGAGTTTCCAGTTCATAAATCAGAAAGAACC